AGGAAGTTTTGCGAATCATTTGTGACATAATTCATAGCATGGCTCAAGGCAATATACTATATCTTAAAATCCTCGGTTGAAACAAGACATGTACCTATACCCAATGAGACTGAATAGTACTATTTATGACGGTGCTGTTTTTTGTTCAGTTTTCTGATAAGTAGCTTTTCAAAGAGCTTTAGTAGGTCACCGCAAAGTGACTCTAGTGTGGAGTTTATTACTCTTTATGCCTTTCTACATAAAAGTAGTCACCCAAGTAGATCTGAATCTTTCTGTTCAACTGGGAGGTCAAATTTTTAAGCCTTTCCTTAGTAGCGTTTACGATTTGTTGTTATTGTTATAAATTTGCATTTGAACGCGCTTAGCTTTAAATTGATTAAATGTGTGCATTTCAACGAAAAGTAGTACCTACTTATGTCATTAAATGTAGAGTGGACTCTACGCTGAGTAAATAGTTGGCATCTGTTTCAGAATGAGAATTATCAACAGAAATATTGGTTTTAAATAGTAGAAATTTTATTTTCAAATCTTGTAGATTTTTGCTTTGTACATCTGAGTGCAATAATTTCATTATTTTTCTTACAATACTCCAACTCGCACAATGCCTCCATAATCACCAATAGTTTTAATTATTAGTACCAACAACTAAGGCATCTAAGATACATTTATTGCGAATGTGATCTAATATAATACTTAATTGTACATAGTAATTAAGTTCTTTTGTGATTACCCACTGAATTATAAGTGCAACCATGTAAACCTTTGATATAACATCGTAGTTAGCGTATAAATAGTCTAATATATTTTTTTTTTAAATCCTAATTATGGTAAAGGATTAAGTTAGTTAAGTTAGTATTAAGATATTAGAACCGGTCAGAAGAAAAGATAGCAGTCAAATATCATCGGCAAAACTAAAGTTACTACGCTGGCTCGGACATTTAGAAAGAATGGGAGAAGATTGAAACGTGAAGAGATCTGGGTTATACCACAGCACGAAAACTAGTTAGATGCCCCTGATATAGCTGGAGCGACGGAACTGCAAAAACTTCAAGCCAATTACTGGCGAGACACTGTCACAGGATCAAAGAAAATCTTGTAACAGAGACGAAGATACATTTTGTGTCTCTGTCACTGAGCCATCCGAATGAATGAGTTTGAGTTGGTATTTCGAAACATGTTTACCTTTGCTTAACATTCTATTATACCAGAGATAAATACATTAGTTTATTTCTCTACTAAATTATAAGGCTCTTTAGCTATCAATTAAACGTGGCTTTAGAAACAAGTTCATTTAATGTACCTTCTTATTACAAGCATATATATATTTATTATCAGTTGTGAACTGATAAAAAATATCTGCTTGTAACTAGTGATAACTAGTTATTCAAGTGATGGAACGAGGAAATAGAATTCGTTATTAACTACCTAAAATACAAGGACAGCATGCAATATATGAAAAATATAAAATAGATACTCACAGCAGAGTGCCCCAAAATGCTAGTCGAGTTATTACTACTATGTATTGCTATCTAATACTTTTAGCAAAACAGAGGTCAGCCCTTTGGTCTCCACAAGCGCTGACCGCTGTTTTCCCTGTTTTTTATTATGGATCATAGCAGTGGTGCTTTGCGGAAGAATTATTAATAACTACAGGACCTACATAGTTACGTTATAACCAATATATGTTTCATTCAGGATTATATGGAGTCTTTTATTGTAATGTAAACCTAGAAAAAAAACAGATGTAAGTGTACTTAAGGAGCCGTACCGACAGATTTGGTGTTTGCAAGACCTTCTGTGGGTGTAGCTTGATCGTCAATTGACTCTTTTCAATACCTCGTCGATTCAATTGTTTCAAAATTTAATGCGTTCTAATTTTGAATGCAACTAAAGTGCCTATAGGAACTTTGAATACTACACAGTAATTTTACGCACACTGTAAAAAAAATTAAGATAGTGCTTACATAAGCTTGTATAAAGGTGTTATTTCGAGCAACGGGAGACCATTCTGTCCAGTTTTATTTGAGAAAAGAATGAACGGTGGGATCGCAAAAACGTATGGTATCCAATCCATAGCGTGAGGACAACTACAAAGACGTGCATAAGACTTTCGTCTACACTCTGTGATCAACGTCTAAATACACTCCAAATCTTGCATAATTCCAATATTATTTTTATACGAAATCGCATTTTAATAGAAAAGACATGGATCATTGGATACTGCAACTTGTATATTTTATGAAATAAAATAATTCCATGTAAACCGTCACATCAGATGTTTACCTCGACTACTAGGTATAATATTTTTATTACAAAGCTTAGAAGTAAATTTCATGTTAATTTGTTATTTCAACAATATTTTAGACTTCAATAACGCCTTTGTCGTACACTGATAAATATTAAGACATGAAGTCTCCCACCTCGTACTAATAGCTCAACATTTCGGACCTTCCGGTAAGGGAGCTTGAAAGCTGTAGTGCAGCGACTGTTGCAACAAACAAACCTACAGGCTTTATGACGCCATAAACCTATGGGACGGCTACCTAATCAGTTAGGAATTACGCGTGAATGCTGATGATTTGTGTTTTTATTATAGAAGACACGATACGAGACCTTCTTTCGTACGTAATAAAGTCGAATATGACAAAAACGAGTTTGACTGGCGACGTTTATTTGTGTAAAGAAAGCGTTCTATTTAAACTGGGTTAGGTTTAATCACAGGCTTGAATATTATATGAAATGCAGTGTGATATATAAAAGACTTTATCAAGCGGTACAATAATTGTGATATAATTATTATACCTTAACAAGTATAGTACAAACGTAGGTAATAATTTTTTATAAGGTTATTTTTGTCTTCGGACCGTTAAAACAGATAAACGATGCATCTGATTGAAAGTGGTACGCTGCCTGTAGATATTTATATGTATACTAAATAAATACCTTTCATATCGTAAATGCAATGTCGGCTATGAGAAATAAGTTTTTAAATCATCTGTGCACAGGCTGGACAGTTGAGAAGAGGAGTAAGATTGGAGCACATAATTGTGCTGACTTTCTCCGATCTTCAATGTGGAACATAGCAGTTAGCATCATAGCATAAGAATTTTATTGAGATTTGGCGGCTTCTGCACACACCATAAATATATAAACTTGGTCTATTTAGGATTATAATGACTATATTGTTACATCATAACCAATACATATTTCATTCGGAATATGTAGTCTTGTAATATGAATCGAGTTCTTAGTATTTTGCGATTGTGACACATAGGAAATGAAACTGTTTTTTTTCGGATCTAAAACGTGTTGTTTTTGAAACAAACCAACGTAACACCGCTTTTTCATAAGACCTGTAAAGGGGCGTGTGAATGAAAAAAATATTTAATTTCCTATATGTAATATGAATCTTTAAAACCCGCTGAAGGAGCCATACCGACAGTTTGGTTATTGCATGAACTTCATAGGGCGTAATAGTCTTAAATCGTCAATTGACTCTTCTTAATACTTCATCGATTCAACTGTTTTAAAATTTAATGCGGTCCAGTTTTGAATGTAATCAACATAAGCGTGATTTGAATTCTACACAGCAATATTCAAGCTACAATGTGAAAATTGAAAGATAATACTTGCGTAAGTATACCTAAGTCATTTTGAGCAACGCAGAAGACGGCATACTACAGCCGCCGATCATATGACATGAACGGCGGCAGTAACAATTTTGCTTTTTACAAATCCAATTTCTTTTTTGTTTTGTTTTTTAATAATACCAAGGGACGGGACGAGCATGTTGTGCACCTAGTAGTAAGTAACACGCCTATCCATACCAGTTGCAGTGTCATTCAAAGCTTTAAATCGCAAAGATCTGAGGGGCACTGTCACTGCGCCCGTCACCCCGAGACATAAGTCCCAAGTGCCTATAATTTCACTAGCACCCTTACCCTTTAAAACCGGAACGGAGTAAAGCTCACATCACTTCTTGCAGAAATCGGTAAGATGGCAGTACTTCCCTGGACGTACTCTTTCACAAGGAACTCTACTGCTACTTGATGTATGTAGATCGATTAGAAATGGAGGTAAAAACAATAACAAGCCTATTATTTATAATACTCACAATAAAATGTATTTGTCCATGAATAGCATTAATATTTTCTATTAAGTATCCGATTTATAGTACCGTCTAAACTACATTATATATCGAGTCTTTGTTAAAAAAAAACCGTAAACATTTTAGATATACAAAATACAAACACAAGGACGTAGATGAAGGCGAAGCAAATTTATTCTATTGAGCTAAATTGTGCCCATCCGTCGGACACTATATCACAGCTAAACATTTTGTCTCACGTTTATTTCCATAAAGTGGTCGTGTTGAAGGCCTCTTAAAATGTACTTAAAATGATATTCCAATGCATAATAGATGTATAATGTATAAGCCGTAATTAAAGCAATAAAAATTAACTTCTCAGAGTATATTGCTCTTCTGCTTTTTATAGTTTATCTTGCTGTGATCTTAATTAGAACAATGTCCAACTTTAATTGTGTTTTTAAAATTCAAAAGTTTTAAAAACATTGTCTGTTGCCATTGAGATTTATCACTGATGAGCTTCAAAACTGTCAAAAGTGACTTTCTTTGAAAATTCTACACTCATTCCTTTCTTATATCAAGTAAAAAGCTGGTGTTAAACTTAATGTAATTTTAAATTTGGTAACATTTTTAAAAAGCAATAGGAAACTTAGATCACCAAATGAAGTCTTAATTTAAATATTCAGTATATTTTACGTCGATATTTCTGCCTACTTATTTAGTTAATGAATATGAAGAATGGTGCTTATATGGTGCCTCGCATTTGAAAGATATACGCGGATGTAAGATATCCAAGAAAAATAAAGGACCTCGTCAAACGAACACAAACTCTCGAGAGTCCTCGACGCTTTGTCTTCAGAGGCGACTGTTTGCTCCTCAAACAAGCGGCATACGACTAGCAATTATCACTTACCTGTGACACGCGATCACAACACTGCACAGATTTTATAGTCGATAAACTTGTATCATCACTTTTACTGGTGTTGTAAATTAATTATGAGCACTATAGGTAGGCTATGGTTATACGAGCGCGGTAGGTACGCGCGGCCTGTCGCGGCGATGGCGGGCGACGTAGTGCGACGCTTACGGCTTTACGCGGCGCCCGCCCAAACCCAACGCCAACACGGAGCCAGTAGAACCGAGGAAGCGCGCGCCGCTCCAAGCATCCCTTGTCCCGTAAGGTATTTATCTCTCTATAGATATACAATACAGACCTCGTATATAGCAAGGGACATTGGAAAATTGACCCTTGTCAAATTTTTCGTCAATTTTTTATCACGCTCCGAGTACGTGTGTCGGTTTAACGAAAGCATGGGAATATACGGATTTTATGCGTTTCGGTAGTTTACACGTAGTAATTTTTAATGAACTGTAGATTTTATTATATTTTTTTATTCTTTATTGATGGTGACGAAGTGTGTTTTAATTACTATAGAGGAAACATAGCGACGATCCACCTGTTTCCAATTTCACTTACGCAAATTTCACCCAAAAAATTCCTATTCTACTAGTTAGAAAGAAGAAGTAGTATTTTTAACTCATCCATTATCCCTATCACTATCACTATTCACGTATAAATAATTGATGCAGTACAGTACACTAAAAATTACAAAATAGAAACGAAATTTTAACATTTAAATTTTCTTAAGTCTTCAAAATTTATGGTGATTGAGCTTACCTGCCTACCTGCTTAATTGGCAAAAATAAATATACGAGAGGGTACTTAATTCGCCCAATTAAGGCCGTAAAATGAGTTTCGCTGCTCCTACGAAATCAACAAAATGTTAACAAGGGTTGTGGAAGGAGTAATATTAAATTTTAGATATTTATAGGTTTAAGGTCACTGCGCGCTTACTATTCAACTTCAGTTATTCACAGATAGAAAAGATTCACAGCTTATAAAACTAATCTAATAACATAAAATAAACTATTTAAGTTCTGTAATAAACAGAAACTTCCGGCACTAGAATGGCACAACTACTGTTATTTGAATAGAAACAAAAGAAAGTTGGATCGTAATGCCCTTGTCAAGTTTGCTCACGACGGACTCCTCTCAGGTTTATCGTACCGTGAACCTTAATAAAAGCACAATAAACAAATATGAATTAGCAGATCTGATAATAAAACGAAACCATGCTACAGTGCTTTAATTTTTTTTTATCTGTGAGAGCATTTACTTGTTAAAACGGAGCCAGCACGATATTTTAATACAAATAGCGATTGTTACTGTATAACTATTAAACATTAAGCAAAATGGTGGCTTTATGTTTACCAACATAGGATGTAGTAGATATATTTTGTCTAAAAGTCAAATTAAAATCATTATTTTCATACGTCTTTTGATATCAAAAAGCATATCCAAAAATAAATTATAGCCATCGAGAACGACTATGCAAATAAAGTCAATAAACAACTTATAAATAGGCAAATAAATAACAACGCGATGAGTTTTTATTTCATCTTAATACGTGCAGTGGCATAATGGCTTAATAATGCAACCACCGTATAAAGTATGTAATTGTTTTATAGGCGCAGGATTACCTCGATTGGTTTATGGTCCTTATGATACGCCTAAGTGAATCTTGTGTAATTCTTGTTCTGTATCCTTTGATAAACAGTTTATTTATAAAGATTCAAAGGCCTAACGCTCATTAAAAGCCGCGAACTAGGGCTGTACAATGAGTGAAATTGGATTTCCGCGACAAGTTACCCATAATGCTAATATGGCCATGGTTTTATCTTGGACAAGATAGCTGATAGCCCTTGGGTATCGTAGTTGGTTTATTATCTTTTGGATATTAACATACAAATTTACCTTCATGCTTTTGAATCATCTGCTAAGTATTTGTCTTTTATAGGTAACCTTGTAGGAAAATTGAAACCTGAACTGAAAACGTCATATTTATTACTTAGAACTCAACAGATTTTTCGGATGCTATATTTGCATAAAGTCGGTTGTGTTAATATGTACCAAACCGATTCCAACTTTCGTTGTTGCAGTAATATCGCATTTAAACGGCTACATATAAAGTGTTTTTTTTTTTTTGTAAAAAAAACTTACACATTCATCAAGGTATGAATCTTGTTTTATAAAACTCCGGCCTTCATGTGGTTTACAAAAACTTGAAGCGGTATTGTGCCTACAATTTTAGGGTAATTTACTATTTTGTTTCATTGTATCAATCAACTCACATAAGGATACTGAATATGAATTTGAAGTTCGTTTCTCGATATCTTAATTAACTCAAGGGATATTCATACTTAAAATACTAGTTGCTGGGAGATGCAACGTTTATCTTTAGCAAAAATTTTCTCCTAATTACGTATCTTGTATGAGACCAGTGACGCCACAAACAGATACTGTTTTCTATTTAATTCCTTGTAGATTTCTAAGTATTCTATAAATTTCAATTCTGTTTTCACATTTATCTGATTTTTAACAGTAATTGAACACATTTCATTTTCTATACTTGTCAAATACCCCATTCCGTGTGCGAAGTGAGCGAGCCACATTCCTCGGAGTATTGACTTGGTGCTACACACAAAGTAACTTACTAGTCAGCTACAACAGTGGTAGCGACAACAAAAGCATTATTAGTGTAAATACTAAACAATATTATCCAAAAATTGCGCATTCAGTCGCACTAAATGGGTCCTTAGACGTGCTACGCGTCGCATGATGCAATGAATTTAAAATTTTAATAAGACGCAACTTTTCAAATTATCGCGTTATGAGAAATCACCAATATTTGTTTGCTTTTAATTCATGTCACAGTCTACTTTCGTAGAGGTCTTATAAGCTTACTAACTAAGCATGACTTTAGAATATGTTCGCCCAGAAGATGCCAGTATGTTCTAAACTAAAAGACTCATTGTGTTACTGGCATCATAAAACACCGACCTTCAACCTGCAGAAGTACTTTACGCCTGAATTGCATGTGCGATGAGAGCGAGTCACATTCCTCGCAGTATTGACTTGGTGCTCTACACAAAGTAACTTACTAGTCAGCTGCAACAGTGGTAGCGACAACAAAATCATTATCAATGAATATACTGAACAATATTATGCAAGAATCGCGCATTCATTCGTATTCTAAATGGGTCTTTAGACGTACGACGCATCGCATGTTGCAATGAATTTGGATTGTAATAAGAAGCAACTTTCTAACTAATTTAACTTTCTAAAAATTAACGCATTATGGGAGCTCACTAATGTTTGTTTGCTTTTGATTCGTTTCGCTATCCACTTGCAAAGAGCTTTTCTAATTTAAGCTCACCTGATGGGAAGCAGAAATGGACACGAGGATAGAACACACACACACGAACACACATCAACAGGCGCACGACTTGTTCATCCCGTCACTTGGTATTATAAAAAAGAAAGTTCGTCAAGAAGATGCCTGTACACTCTAAGCCAAAAGACACATTGTGTTACTGGCATCATAAAACACCGACCTTCAGCCTGCAGAAGCATTTTACGTCTGCAATTCCATGTGCGAAGCGAGCGAGTGACATTCCTCGCAGTATTGACTTGGTGCTCTACACAAAGTAACTTACCAGCGAACTGCAACAGTTGTACCAGATACAAAAACATCAACACTCATACAAAATGTATATAGATATCTGCCAGTTATACATAGTAATATATAATAATAATAATAATAACGCACATACACCCTAATAGCCTCGCACTCCGAAAATCCTATGTCGCGGGTGTCATGGACACACACATAGACAACCACAAATTACATCCAAATTCACCAGAGAAATAAATGCAGGTCATACAAATATTTCTCCCGGCCAGGGAATCGAACCCGGGACCTTCTAGGTGGCAGACCAGGATGGTAACCGTTCGGCCACAAGGCATAAATATATTAATTATAATTTTACGGTCGATGATAATACGGAAAAATTACATGGTTAGTTTAATGATAGTGTTATTGTATTTTTCCGTATTTCATTAGACGTAATTCGATGTTTAATGCTGGTTAGTTATCCCCAAACTTCATAATACACTTACAACACAGATAGGCATACTTCAAAAATTAGCTGTTGCAGAAATCATGAAGTAAAGAATTCATTTTTACATTTATTTGCTGACGGTTCGTAAGTGCAGAGTACGACGCGATGCGGTGCAATGGCGGCTGTTTGCGAAGCGCGCCGCTAATTGCCGCCAAGACGACCAGCTTTCTGCTGACCCTACACATGCAACATACCAACTAATTATAATAATACAAGACACATATAGATAGTAGAATTGTAAAAACAGAAAAATTAAAAGTTAATTCAAATAGTGAATTTGAATATAAATTTACATTTATAAGTATAATGAGCGATTATCATTCGATAATATTATTAACTCTGCGGTGACCCTAACAAACAGTGATTATTTTATAGTCATTATTCTGGTTTAATTATAAAATATAAATACAATAATTATAATGCCAGCTAATTACGTATACCTGATACAGCCGACCAACTCTAAATATTTCCAATTATTTGTATACGAATAGAGCTGCTTACGTCATGCAATATGCTCGTCGTACATTATTCTTTACCACGCCCTACCATACTTTACTTTTATGCAGATACGTGTGTAGAAAGGGATGCATCTACATGAACTTAACTCTAACTTACATTAAATAAAATCTTCTAGTTTGGTGACTCCAGTTAGCTATTAGCGCCCTTCGCCGAAATCTCTCTCCTTTTCTTAAATTAGACTTACTAAGCGAAATACCAAATCCCGGCTCAAGTAATCTCAAAGTGGATTGTCTCCCCGAACCCCGATTGGATTTATCTCAAGTTTTACGGCGTCTCGCGTCCCCCTCGTAAACTTTAATACCGTCGCTACCATTCTCTATAGGTATGCACAGGGTGTCTATGAAATGCATGCCAAATCTCGAAAACTGTTTGAGGTTATAACTTTTAAAATTTAGACTTTTTTCCTAAAGTACGAAACTTTGGTTCTGTCACAATTAAAGATACAGAAAGATAAAATTTTCTATACGTGTTTACAATAGCCGTAGCACAAACTTTGTTAGTTTTAGGGGCCCAAAATATTTTAACGCCAACTTCTTAGATAGGTATATATACCTAAATACTTTACGGACAATTTGAAAATTGTTTAGTACGTAGTTTTATATAAAAATTAGGATACATCCAACCAAAAGACAGGTTCCGT